TTTTTTTTTTTTTTTTTTTTACTTTAATGTTACGTGTATGTACGCACTCGCAATGGCTGCTGCCGAATGTTTGCCACGGTTCGTTTGGCTAGAGCGATATGACGAATTATCGATTCGCGATAGATCGTTGCTTAAATTAGTGCTGAAACCAATGCAATTCTCAGACATGACGTTGTAACGTGTTGACATAGCAGTATGAGCAATTTGTGGCCGAGGTATAGCAGCAAGCATCGACAGGGTTGGTAGGTACGTAAGTGAGAGAGAAAGAGATAGAGAGAGGGATAGATAGAAAGAGAGAGAGAGAGAGAGAGAGAGAGAGAGAGAGAGAAATTAAAAAAAAGAGCGAGAGCGTAAGAGAATAAAGAACAGAGGGAAAAGATCGTGTTGGTAAATACACGAATATTAAAAATGTAAGTAAAATATGTGTAAACGGAAGCTGGCTGGACGTTTGGATAAGCAGGAGGGCTCTCGCGAAGGATCGGTAAGCGAGAGGATGGATGAACTAAAACAGAATAAAAAAGTTAAGTTATTAAAGACAGTTCTCTCTTGTCCAAGTTAAAAATACTACCATTCACAGTTCTTGAGCTGATAAAGCTCGTTGCATATACGCTCGTGCGTACGGGCGTATTCAAGGAAAACTGTCGCCAAGGAACAATGATCAATGAGAGAAGATAAGTCCCAAGAAGAGGAGGTCACTTTATAGAGAATCTGTAAGTTTCATCTGGTGAATCATCTGTAAGATTTTAAGATTTTACCAACTATGTCTTTCCTATGAAAACGTTACTGACGAGTGACAATTTTAATTTGATGTATTGTCTGACAGGCAGAAGTAGTAGGATGAAAGAAAGAGAGTGAGTGTATGTGTGTGTGTGTGTGTGATAGAAAGAGAAAGAGAGAGAGAGAGAGAGAGAGAGAGAGAGAGAGAGAGAGAGAGAGAGAGAGAGAGAGAGAAGGGGGAAGGAAGGATACAAATTGTAAATAAAATCAAGAAAATTGGAGTAAGTGAGAGAAATAGAGAGAAAGAAAGAGAAAGAGAGAGAGAGAGAGAGAGAGAGAGAGAGAGAGAGAGAGAGAGAGAGAAAGAGGTTTACTGTTACTCTGGTATTACTGTACTTGCATGCACAACCAACGTACACTGGCCAGTCTACGGAGCAACCAGATACCCACTTTCGCCATCTGCGCTTGGATGCCCTTGGCGACCAGTGCTTTCACAGCACCCTCTGCCGCCACCGGTGACTCAAAGTCTACAAAGCCATAACCTGAAACACAATGATTTAACGTTAGCCAATAAGTCCATTGGACCTTGCCGTACCCGTACCCGTGCGACACCGTGCTCGATTATACGACTATACGTAAAGTGTACGAGGTGTCGGGACGAGAACTTTCGTACCGTCGTTACGCGACACTACCAGGGACTACGTAGCGACATTGCAATTACCGTTAGGCAAAAAGGATACCGTAAGGATTATAAGGTTAAGCCGATAGCCAGTACAATTTATGTCTAATACAATTAATGAGCGAACAGAATACATTGAGCAAACCAAGTTTTATCTGTACGTCAATATTTATAGGCAGTGGTTTACCTTTCGGTTTTTCGCTCTGACCAAGCTTTCTTACCGGGAAACATAGCGAGCAATAAATAATCAGCCACGTTTGTCTACCACGTTGACCGTAAAACACCGCTATGGCTCGTGAAACTTCATTTCGCATGTAAAATTTGCTGTATTAATAATGGCCCGCGATACGGGTACCTCTTTTACTGACTTTGGCACGGGTACAGAAAGGTTAACTATAGACCGAGGTAATGGATCCTTTCCAGAGAGACAAAAGAACGCGCGTACAACTAAAAAGTGTCAAGTTCAACTAAGTACCTTTACATTTATTTGTGTTTTTATCCAGAATCGCCTTTGTAGAGGTTATAGTCCCGAACCTGCAATGAGAACATGACGTGTCGATGAAAAGGCTCTGAGCCATGGATTGCGCTATACGATATTGATTTATCAATCACGTGGATTACATACTGAGCACACATATTGACGAGGTCCTTATCGGTCGTGTTTTGGTTGAGGCCGCGGATGTACAGATTCGTTTTGGATAGCTGCTCCGTTTGTTGGCCCTGCATCGCATTATTGCTAAGACTGGTACTCATGGTGCCACTTTGACTTCCCGTGGCACTGCTCGAGCTGCTGTGAGTATTCGCCGGCGAGGACGCCGTGGGCACGCGTTGACCTCCATACTGAAACACCGTAAAGTAACCAGAAGATTAGTTTCATGGCAGGAGAAGCAGCGAAAGAAGAAAAAAATAAGAAGAAAATATCCACTTAAGTCCCACAACAGTAAATTGCTTATTGAACTTACTGCCTGGTCTGGAGCCACTCGCTAATACTCGTGTTCTACCGATCGTAATGAATAATCCAAGAGAACCAAGAGGTTATGGAACTTTTTAAATTTTAACTAATCATACACTATTACTCATTGGCGACAGGCAATATCAACCGAGTGGGTCCAACCGATGCCAAAGGTACATCCGAGTGTACCTGAAGAACAGTAAGTTAAACGTGACCTTTTCCTCGTGGCATTTAGGTCTTGAGGTGGACTAGTCTCTTTCTCTCTCTATCTATGTGTGTCTCTTACGCAAAATCACTATCAACCCAATAAATAAAAGCCTGCAAGCGTACAAATTGACGTACAACAGGAACCGCCAGGAAGCGAC